ATTTTCCTGAAGAAGGGTCTCGACCCGAAACGTCAGCTTTCCTGCTCCTCTGATGCTGCTTGGCCTGCTGTGTTCATCCAGCTCTACACTTTGTTATCTCAGATTCTCCAGCATCGGCAGTTCCTACTATCTCTATAAGAGTGAGACTGAGCACAGGTAGATTTGAAAATGTCAAATTTCCATTCAATCTAGTTTAGCTCGGCACTTTGATGCCACAGTCAATCTGATGCAGTCTTGAAATCAAGGCATTGATTCTCACCTCACTTCTTGCATTCATCTCTTCTGTCCAAATGGACCAAGGCTGTAATGAGGTCAGAGGCTGAGTGGTCAATGCAGAATGCAAACTGAGTGTCAGTCAGCAGCAGTATATTGATCCGTACGTGCTCTTTAATGGCACTGTTGACAATGCCTTTCATCATTTTGCTGATGATGATTGAGAATAAACTGCAGGGGTGTTGGTTGGCTATGTTGGATTTGCCATGCTTTTTGTGGAGAGGGCATACCTGGCAACTTTACCTGTTGAAAAACAGAAATTGCTGGGAAAACTCTGTAGGTCTGGCAACATCTATGGAGAGAAAGCAGCGTTAACATTCAGAGTTCAGGTCTAGTGACCCTACGTCTGAACGGATCTGAGCATCAGCAAACCAGGATCCCACAGAACATGTAAAGCCCAGTACGAATACAGGGAGACAGTGTAAATCCCGGGATCTGACCTTTTCAGGATGGGTTCCTGCGGGTGGTCAGTATGAGCACTAGAAAGGGGACAAGTTGTTGCACTGATCACTTGTTCCCCTTCGGGTTTCTGATCTGAAATGTCCTACTGATCAAACCATTCTCTCCTGTTCAATTCCAGAGTTACTGAGACTCAGAAAGTCACAGAGCCAGAAGTTCCAGTGATCACCCTGAACTTGTCCAATATATCTGAACAACTCCAGAAGAAGCTGAAGGGATGGAAAACGTACCATACGGACATATTGGGAGCCATCAGTAAGAATGTGCAGCTTTACTCCAACCTTAGGGAATGAGAGGAGTTCAGGTCAGTCAGCTGGAAATATCCCTGAACTTTAATGTCAACTCCCTGTTTGTGTGAATCACAATCAGCCTGAGATTCATCTTCAGTCCCCACTGACTTTGCATGAACATTCCTCCCTGGAATGGGTTAGAGCTTCATCCACCTTGTTGTTAGGTGTGAGTTCCTTCCAACGTGTCACTTAGGTTCAAAGCCATGCTCTGGACAAAACTTATCGACTTCCGACAGCACCTTCTTACAGCCAAAAGGAGGAGCAAAAGGCAAACAAAAGTTTGTTCCTTCCCTTTCTGAACAGCATTCCAGAATCTGCTGTGCAACTTGATTCCTACTTACCACTCTCTGACTCATATCTAAGTTTGACAGTTTTTTTCATTAAGTTGTCATCCACACTTCCATCTCAACTACTGGGTAACCCACCTCCAGTATAACCCAAGGATTGTCAGGGCATCCTGGACCCACATTTGTTTAAGAGGAAATTTATCACTGGGGCACTACCCATGTTCGTCTTTAAGCTCCTGGCTGGGTCACCAGGAAGCTGTAGAATAAAAGTCCTTTCCAGAGTCTCACTTACGTTCAGAGACATATTCAGTACCAGGTGTTGCATTAAAATAACAATTTTTATTGGCTAATTATTGTAATTGATAATATAACAGTTATAAATTACAATATAAAAATAAGAAAGAATGAAAGAAAACTGTGTAAAGGAAAAGAAAGCACGATATGTATTTTAACAAAAAGTAGAGAGGCAACTTTATCATAGTACAAATAACAACCCCAAATTGGTCTGTCCAGGAAATATCTTTAAATTGATAAACTCTTGTGACATATATCGCCAAGTCTCCAAAGTATTATGCAATGGTAGAGTCTCTGATCAATCATTCTGTTGATGTCCTTTCCTCCGTTCTCTTCAATGGTGGACTCGACTACTTCACATGCTGGAGGCAGTGTGCCTTTAAGTCTAGTTTTTGTTCCATTCCAGCATTTCAAGGCTTAATTCAGACTTACCTAACATAATGGTCTAGCAACTATGACTCTTTATGAACTGATTCCCACAGTCTTTGCAAAATCTGCAGACTTTGCAGAACTCAGACTATTAACACATTCTTGATGGTATCTCTGACATTTCAACAATGATGACATACTGTCCTCCAAACAAAATCCATTTCCATATAGTTGGTCACCGTATGTGTGAGGCTATTCATTGTTCTGATTCATAGTTGAAGGGTCATTGGAGTGAACATGGTAAGAACAGATCCCCCTTTAAACCATATAAACCAATTTTATTGTCTGCAGCAAAGAATCTAAAGATAAACAAAAGTTCAGTAAAAATAACAATTGTGATTATGATGTGTAAGGAAAGTCCTTGGAGAAGAATTGAATAATGGTATAACTTAATCTAAAACACAATAACACCTAGATTTAAATCAACATCTACAAAGTAAAATTCAATTACAAGCTTATTGAAAAATCAAAAGCAAAGCAGACAAGAAATGTAAAATTGCAAACATTAATGATTGCTAGCTGTAGCCTGACAATAGATCAACAGACAGATTTACACACCATAAATCAATACGGCCTCTTAAAGAAATACTGCACCTCACAGTACTGTCAGTGTTTAGGAATAAAGGAAGAATTGTATTCATATAGCAACTTTGACAACTTCACAACATCCCAAATTTGTTTACAACCATTAAGTTCTTTTTGAAATGCAGTTCTCTTTATAATGTAGGAATTTATGAAGATGGAATCAATAACCCTTCATTGAGTGATATAAAGGAGGCTGGACCTCACAGTGTCAAATTTCCCAATCACTGTGTGCTCTGTTTACAGTGTCAGCTTCCACCGATTACACAGACCCATCGAATGTAACTCCTTCCCCAATTGACTCCTCTAGGGCAGTCCCTGTCCCACAGAACATCCTCCAGGTTTCAACCAGGACCAGTGAGAGACTGGGAATATCCTAATGTGTGTTCATAATCTAAAACAAGGATCCGCAATTTATATTTAGCCCTCTCATTTTGCTATAAATCCTCTATTCCTATTCAACCCTTTCCCTCTAGATCACATTTCTTCAATCAGGGATTCAAGGTTTGAGTATCTGCTCCTGTTCCCTCCTCACAGCACTGTATTGGCCTGAGTTTCAGAACCAGGGCCTAAGAGAGTGTTCATGAATTCAGAAGGAACAGGGAGTCACAGAGTTTGATTTACAGAAGGGAGTTGATTTAGCTTCTTGAGCCTGTTCCATTATTCAACAAGACCTTTGCTCATATCTGACTGAACATCATGTGAGGAGCTTTATAGCCCCCACTGTTATTTGCTTACCTTTTTACTGTTTAATCAATATTTTACATTTTATTGTAAAAGTGACACGAGATCGGTTAACTGAATGCGAAAAGGTCTGTCAAACAGAGCATAATGTGGGAAAATATGAAGTTGTCGTTTAGGCAGAAAGAATGAAAAAGAAGCATATTGTCTAAATGGTGGGTGTTTACAGAGTTTTGAGATGCAGAAGGATCTGAGTGTCATAGTGTATGTATCACAAAAAATTTGTAAAAGGGAACCACAAGTAGTTAGAAAGGCTTTTAGAATATTATTGTTTCGTGTGAAGGGAATTGAATATCAAAATTATTCTTTAATTATATAGATGTGGTGTTACCACATCAGGAGTATTGTGTACGGCATCAGTTTTCTGATTCAAGGAAGATGTAAATGCATTGGAACTAGTTCGGAGAAGGTATTACAAGACTGACATCTGTCATGGAGTTGGGTTGTCTTAATGGTTAGACATACTAGGCTTGTATTGATTGAAGAAGACTAAGAGGCAATTTGATTGAAATATATATCAGATAATGAGAAGGCTTGACAGATGTGGATGAGATATTTCCTGTTTTCAGAGCATTTAGGAACAGGGGTTAACATTTAAAATTCAAGTGTCACCCATTTAAGACAGAGATGAGGGTACATTTGTTTCTCTCAGAGGACCGAGAGTCTTTGGAGCTCTATACCTCAAAAGGTGGTCAAGTCAGGTGGAAGTTGATAGATTCAAGCTTACCAAGAGGCTAAAATGTTATCAGAAATAAGTGGGAATGTGGAGCTGAGGTTTCATTCAGGTCATTGTTATCTTATCAATTGGCAGAGCAAGCTTGCGGGACTGCATGACCAACTCTTGCTCTTAAATTATATGTTGGTATGAAATGCTCAGGCCAGGGAAATACTCAGGACACAAGTTCTGTATTCAGGATGGGACAGTAACAGGACGGATAGAATCCTGCATTCAGTAAGGACAGAAACAGGAGTGTGCGAGCTCAGGACACATTCCTGTATTCAGGATAGGATAGTAATTAGAGGGAGAGAACCCAGAACACACTTCTGTCAGCTGCGTGTTTCCAGAACAGCTGGTGCTGAAATTGTGGGGCTGTAATTGTGAGGCTGTGGGATGTGTTGAATGTTGGTGAATTATTTCCATTGCGTCTGGGAGAATATGTGCACAGTGCCGGGGATTTGTGTGACTAAACAGACTGTTACTGTGCATCTCACTGCAATTTTTGTTCCAAGTGAAGGCTGGGACACACACACTGCTGTCAAATAAGGGATTCTGATATGCAGCCATTTATTTAACTTGAGAAGATTCCAATCTCACAGGTAATAGGGGGTTGACAGTGAATAGGAATTCCCGATGCTTTTACCTTACAGCTGTCAATCATTGATCTGAGTGGAATAACTAACTGTCTGACGAATCTCTTCTCTTTAGGGAAAAGTCCATTGAACCTGGATCCAAAAACAGCAAACTTCAACTTGATTCTGTCGGATAGCCTGAGATCTGTAACATGGACTGGACAGGAACAGCCCTATCCACCTCACCCGGAGAGATTTAGGGACTGTCCCCAAGTTCTCTGCTCCCAGAGCTTCTCCTCAGGATCCCATTCCTGGGATGTGCAGATTGATGGGAATGACTGGGGAATAGGGATTGTGTATGAGAGTGTGGACAGGGAGGGGAAAAGGTCTTCTCTAGGAAATAGCAGTAAATCCTGGAGTTTAGATTGTGGTTATATTATTCCTGACTATCTCTGGGCCCGGCACAATTCCCAGTTCACCCTCCTCCCATCAAGCCAGGTTAACCCCAGGATCCGAGTCCAATTGGACTACGAGGCTGGGACTTTGTCATTTCACCAGGTCACTGACTCACTGAGACATTTACACAACATTTCAAACCACATTCACTGAACCTGTGTTTCCAGCATTTTATTGTTATTGGAACACATCCATAAAACTGTTAACTTAATCCTGATAGCAAGGTCTCAGAGACATCACTTTCTGTTTGGTGATTTTTGTTATGTCACTTCATGTTCGGGTATGTGGATCTCGGAAAATGTAACTTCCCCTTGTCTTAGAGGGTTTGTGATTATGTCACTTCTAACATTTCTTGGAAGTTTTTGATGATGTCAGTTTTAGGTTGTCTTGATGGGTTCTTATTGTGTCGCATCAGGTCAGCTTGCGGCTTTTTGATGGTATCCCTTTCAGGTTGCCTTTCATTTGCTTCTGGATCACCTTGATGGATTCAAATGCTGGATGGCTTGATGCCACCTCCCAGTTGATTTTGGGATTCCTGTTGTCATTTTGTATAAGATAATGACGGTTTTGAAAGGGTTAATGTTGGAGATTGCATCATCTCCACCCAATCTGAAGATGTCTTTGGGTAGAGAATCCAATGGGAAAAATCATCTGGATCATTGTTTACTGGCGAATCAAGGTCAAGATCAGAATTAAGATCAACATTTCTGAAACCAAAGTCCTACCAATCCTCTAAGTGTGAAGAAAATATAATAATTGTGAAATCTTCAGACTCCTGAATTTCTGAAGTAGGATTCTTAGGGGATGGATGTGGAGTGATAAATATAGTTATGTACCTGAACATATAAATGTAACCTGTGTATGTTGGGGCAGGGGGAGATGTTGTATAAGATAATGGTTCTGAAAGATTAATGCTAGAGATTGCATTGAGTTCCATCCAATCCATCAATGCTGCAAAGTCTCAGCAGTCAGAGAAGAGAATCAGAACTCCAGCACAAATTCCCAATATGCTAACTCTGGATCCCGATAGTCTTTGTAACCATGCTTAACTAGTCAATGAAACTTATAGCATTTACTATCTTGCAAAAGGCTGGATTTTGTGAGGATCGTACTCTGCCCCATTTTTACAAATGAAGGAGCTCCACATTTCTGAGAGGAGTTTCCAATGTGGAGCCATGCTTCCATTCTGACAGTTCTTTTGTACTGAGAGCTATCAGAGGAGGCAAACCATTCCCCTTTTCACAGCAGTCAGTTGTAGTTGGAAAATTAATGGTCCTTACAGTAACTTTGACAGCTTTGTTCAAAAACCAAGCATCTAAGTTAAGTGTAATGTTAGGATTTTTGGGAGAGATAGGATGCCAGACAGATTGGAGTAGTATGCCAGGTAAGTAAAGTATCAGCTGGGTTGGGTGCTAGCTGCGTAAGGGATAGGGTGGATGGGTAGGGGTAAGGGTGCCAGCTGAATCAGGATAAGATGCCAGGTGGAAAGGATGCTGTGCTAGAGTGGCAGAGTGTAATGTAGCATGGGTTCAAATAAGTGATGTATTATTTAGGGTAGGTCAGGCCCAGTGGGTCCAGGAAGGATGGAGGTCAGGTCTGGGGTTGGTATCAGGTTGTTGGCACAGCAGCAGGGATGTTGGTCTGACAGTGGCAAAGGGTCAATTGCCCAGTCTGGATTAGTGCAGGGATTAGTGTCAGGATCTGGGGAGTGAAAGTGATGCGGTGGTCAGTATGGAGATCTGTTAGATAGTTACACAGGGAACTGTTAGATAGTTGTTCAGTTTCTGTTGAATAGTTAAACAAGGTCTGTCAAGCAGGTCTGGCAGCATCTGTGGAGCGAATTCAAAGCTAAAGTTTTGGGTCCTGTAACCCTTCCTCAGAACAGATGGTAGCTAGGAAAAAGTTGTTTTTTACGCAGAAGATAGGACTGGGGAGGGGGTAAGGAGTAAATGATAGGTGGTGATAGAGCCCAAAGAGAGAGAAGAACAGTTGGACAGAGGGGATTACGATTGGACAAGGAGAATGAATAACTGTTAATGGGGAATGTTAGTGTCTAACAATGGGTTGTGTGTAATAGTAGACCATGTGATAACAAGAGACAGTACAGTGTGGAGCCAGAGGAACGCAGCAGTCCAGGCAACGTCAGAGGAGCAGGAAAGTTGACATTTTGGGTCAGGACCCTTCTTCAGAAATGGGGAGGGGGAAGGTAACAAGGCCTGGGGTGTGAGGTTTGGGATAAGAACATGGGAGAAGCTCAAGCCCTGAAGTTGTTCTTTTCTGTCTTTGGGCTCTATTTCCACCTATTGTTTACTCCTCACCACGCTCCCCCCCCCCCCCAATCCTGTCTTCTGCATAAAAAATCAACATTTTCCTAGCTACCATCAGTTCTGAGGAAAGGTCACTGGACCCAAAATGTTAACTCTGATTTCTTCCAAGAGATGCTGCTAGACGTGCTGAGCTTTTCCAGTAATTTTGATTTTTCGATTTTTTGATTTCCAGCATCTGTAGTTACTTCGGCTTTTATTCTGTTAATTGTTACTCTGTTTCCTAAGTAACTATTTTACTTTATTTTGTTGGAACCCTCCAGAAGTTTCCAAGTTAAATGGTGACTTTCAGAGAGCTCTAGGTGTAGAGGAACTGCCCAGCACAAAATTCAATTTCTTGGGCAACTCCTTCAAATTCTGCTGTGGTGAGACTCCACAGAGTCTCCATGCGCTCCTTCCATCAATGATGGAGTAACAACTCTCTGCTCATCAGAAAATCGGGCCTATATATTGCTTAAGGCAAGAGGCTCTTCTCACTAATGACTCATCTGTAGTTTATGCTCCACTGTTTCTAATTAGATATGCCTTTAGCACAGAAAAAGGAATCGGTAACAGTACTCTATTCCATGCATAAGCTCCCAATAGTTGGTTCCATATGACATGATCATTAGCATTGGGAACCATTGCTTAAATACTTCAAAGTAATGACATTGGAAAAAATCCAACCTAAAATGCATTATCACTTTAAGAAAACTCAGTCAGTCAATAGCTACAAGTGCATGAACAGACAAGTAGCTAGAAGCACCCATGGAAACAGCAGCAGGGAAAAATCAACACTTCAGAAGAAAACCTTGACCTCAAAACTGGTAATACATGCAGGAAAAACAATATTGAGCGGGAAGAAGATAAAAATTGGTCACACTGTGAAGTTAGAGTCCTTAGAGAAGAAGGATCTGTAGGAAGCATTTAGAATTTTGTGAGTAAAGTTAGAAATTCTTGAGGGCAGAAGTGTTAAACTTTAAATCACAGTGCAAAAAGAAGGAAGGATAAGTGAAAAGCAGTACTTGGTCCTGCAACATCAACATCACAATATCAGTGTGGCATTTAAGGCAACTGAAGGTCAATTTAAAAGATTTGGAATAAAGAGTCTTCAGAGTTTTAAGTTGTGATAAGATTTATTTTACAATTTATAACAACACAGATTTCATCAGGTAGATTTATTGAGGCTTCAGCCAAAGAAGTTTACTTGAAAAATTATGCAAGGGACAGTTTCAATGGTGAAAGATGAGAAAATATCTACTTTGCCAGAGAAGAAGTAGTAAAACTCCATCTTGGCTGCAGAAGGTGGGAAAGGCTCCCAAAGGTGGAAAACCATCATTTTGATCAGCAGAATGGCAGAAAACCCCGGTAACCATAGGGCAAATCTGTAACAGTGGAAATCATTAAAAAAAAAACTTGGGGGAGTACAGACCCAACATGTTCCCTTTCAGTTGAAATTAGGGGTAAAATGCCCAGAGAATCATGGATGTCTAGGAATTTTCAAGACTAGATGAAAAGGAAAAGAATGACTTATAACAAGTAAAAAGGGAGCTTTTCTGAAGAAGGGTCTCGGCCCAAAATATCAGTTTTCCTGCTCCTCTGATGCTGCTTGGCCTGCTGTGTTCATCCAGCTCTACACCTTGTTATCTCAAAATAACAGAAGCCTTAGAATACAGGAAGTGCAGGGAGGACCTCAAGAAAGCAATTAGGAGAGCAAAGAGGGGACATGGGAAAATGTTGCCACACAACAGTAGGGTGAATCCCAAGATATTCTACAAGTGTATCGGGATGAACAGGATAACCAGGGAAAGAGTAGGGTATATTAGGGACCAAAGGGGCAATCTGCATGTGGAGTCGGAGGACAGTGGTAAGTGTTGTACTTCACATCGGCATTCACCACGGTGAAGGACATGGATGATGAGAAGTTTAGGGAGGGTCTGTTCTAGCGTGGGTTGATATTAAGAAGCAGAAGTTGTTGGTTGTCTCGAAAGACATTAACATAGGTAAGTCCTCGGGGCCAGAGGACTGAAGAATAGCCATTGTTATTCCTTTGTTTAAAAAAGACAACGGGGATATTTCCAGAAAATTATAGGCCAGTGAGTCAATGGTAGGGAAATTATTGGGGAAGGTTCTTAGGGACTGCATTTACTCACATTTGGAGAAGAATGGACTGATTAGGAATGGCATGGCTTTATGCATGAGAAGTCTTGTCTCACAAATTTGATTGAGTGTTTTTGAGGAAGTGATGAAGGTGATTGATGAGAGTAGGGTAGTGTATGTTGTCTACACAGATTTTACTAAAACATTTGACAAGGTCCATCATGGGAGGCCAGAAGATCAAGTCACATGAGATCCATGGTAAGTTGACAAGTTAAATTCAAAATTAGCTTGGTCATAGAAAACAGAGAGTAGTTGTGGAGGGGTGTTTTTCTGATTGGAAATCAGTGACAGGTGGTGTTTCGCAAGGATCGTGCTGAGACCTCTGTTGTTTGTAATATATGTATAAATGATTTGGATGGAAGTGTAGGTGGTCTGATTAGTAAGTTTGCAGATGACACAAAAACTGGTGGATTGTGGATATTGAGGATATTTGAGGTTGTTGACTTGCTCGCCGAGCTGGCTTGGTTTTGTTCAGACGTTTCATCACCATGCTAGGTGACATCATCAGTAGAGCCTCCAACGAAGTGATGTTATTCTACTCCGCTCTACTGATGATGTCACCTAGCATGGTGATGAAACGTCTGAACAA